AGAATCTTTGCACCAGAAACTACCCGACTGGCAATTTTAGGACTTTATCATAACCATCCGCTTTCAGGACATTTCGGGGTTCACAAGACCTTAGACCTAGTGCAGCCATTGTTCTGGTGGCCTAAGTGGGAGAAGGACTGCAAGGCTTATGTAAATTCCTGTGTACATGTATATGGAACAAGGGTGATAGAAGCAAGACCTGGGGATTATTAAGGCCTTTACCAGTTCTTGACCATCCTTGGAGAATGATATCAATGGACTTCGTTGTAGAACTGCCACCATCAGAGGGATGTTCAGCTATCTTTGTTATAGTGGATCGGTTCTCTAAGATGGCCCATTTTATTGCTATGAAGGGAGTACCATCTGCAGCAGAAATGGCCCAAATCTTTATTAGAGAGGTGGAGAGGCTCCATGATGTCTCAGGGAACATCGTCTTGGATCGATAGGTGCAATTCACCTCGAAATTCTGGAAAGCTCTTTGCGAGAAGTTGAAAGTGGGACTCACTCTCTTCCGCTTATCACCCTCAGACCAACGGCCAAACGGAAAGAACCAACCAGACCTTGGAGCAGTACATTCGTCGTTTTTCACAACCTTTTCCCAAGATGACTGGGTATCACTCCTACCCTTGGTTGAATTTGCCTATAATTATTCAAAACACTCGGCCACAAAACAATCTCCCTTCTTCTCTAACTATGGATTTCACCCTGCATTAATTTCCAATATAGTGCCTGAATCAGCAATTCTAGCAGTCCAAGATACCTTTGAATTCCTTCAACAGAACAACAAGATGCTACAGGAGACAATCTCAAAGGCTCAGCTAGATAATAAGAAATTCTTTGACAGAAAAAGGAAAGGGGACCTGGTCCTGGAACCTGGCGAAGAGGTATGGTTGTCAACAGCCAGTCTAAGGTTAACCTGTCCCTCAAAGAAGTTAGGCCCCAAATTCATGGGACCTTTTCCAGTAAAAAGGAGGATTAATGATGTAGCATACGAGCTCACACTACCAGAATCACTAAAAATCCATCCTGTATTCCACGTATAAAGGAGGAGAGGGGACCTGGTCCTGGAACCTGGCAAAGAGGTATGGTTGTCAACAGCCAATCTAAGGTTAACCTGTCCCTCAAGGAAGTTAGGCCCCAAATTTGTGGGACCTTTTCCAGTAAAAAGGAAGATTAATGATGTAGCATACGAGCTCACACTACCAGAATCACTAAAAATCCATCCTGTATTCCACGTATAAAGGAGGAGAGGGGACCTGGTCCTGGAACCTGGCAAAGAGGTATGGTTGTCAACAGCCAATCTAAGGTTAACCTGTCCCTCAAGGAAGTTAGGCCCCAAATTTGTGGGACCTTTTCCAGTAAAAAGGAAGATTAATGATGTAGCATACGAGCTCACACTACCAGAATCACTAAAAATCCATCCTGTATTCCATGTATCGTTGCTCAAGACTGCAGTCTCTAACCCCTTTCCAGGTCGGGAATTGGGGCCGCCTGAACCAGTGATCGTCGACGGCGAAGAAAAATATGAGGTAGAAACAATTGTTGACTAGGAAAAGGAGGAACCAACTCCAATATTTAATTAAATGGAAAGGTTATGGACCTGAAGACAATTCATGGGAACCGGAGTCTAACATCCATGCTAAATATTTAATCCTGGCATTCAAGCGCAGGCATCCAGAGAAGATGGCCCAGTTGGACATCCGGAAGCTGCCCTTAGGGAGGTGGCACTGTCAGGGATCCCGCCGCCGTGCAGCTGGGTGACAGCGACGGATCCCCTTGGATCACGGCGGCGGTGTGGTGCGAGTGCGGAGCACGGGCACGCATGTGCAGGAGCGTGCGAGTGTGCGTGCATGCGCAGTAGTGTACACGTCACTGGAAGGCGGGCTATTTAAACCTGCAATACAGTGTAATAAATGCCTTCTGGTCTATAACGTACTGCACTCCAAAACCTGATTCTGTTGCCTGTATCTGATCTGACCCTGAAGAGAAAACTCCGTCTGCACCGACCCCGGCTATCCCTGACTATCCGCTTGCCTGTTCCCTTGTACTTGATTTGCTCATTTGATCCTGACCCGGCTTGTCTGACTCTGCTGCACCCATGGTCCTGCACCTGGCCTGCATACTTACCTGCTGCTGCACCCATGGTACTGCACCTGGCCTGCATACTTACCTGCTACCGCAGCGAACAGTCCTGCACCTGGCCTGCATACTTACCTGCCTGCTGCCGCATCCACCCTCCTGTGTCCAGTCCCAGTCTGCATCCTGATTGCCGCCATACCTGCCTGCTGCTGCATCTACATTCCTGCATCTGCACCTGGCCTGCATCTGGATTTCCTGGGTCTTCACCTGCCTGCTACTAGCTCCAAACCTACCGGTACTCGTGCCACTCCTGGCTTTGCGCCTCTGTTCCCACCATCAGGGGCTCTGAGCGGGAGTCGTAAGAAGACGTCTTCTCTCTACGTCGGGCTCCCCAACAAAGTACGTGACACCTCCTCTTTGGAAACCCTGAGGCAAGAAGGGACATAACCCTATTAAATGACAAGCTTTGTGGGTGGTGAGCCAAACTATTGATTTTTGTACCAGAAGTGTGTCCTACTGTGCTATCTGTCACTGTAATTGCCCCGTTCGCCGGGAAACAGCCGGTAAGGACACAGGTTCTGTGATCCTGCGACTGACATCCGCGGAGGTGATTGGCGGGACAGATAGGGCTGTAATCTCGGCTGTATTTAACCACTTGCCGCCCTGCCACTGTCTAAATACGGCGGCAGGGCGGCACGGGCAGGCAAAACCACGTTGTAAAACGTGTGTTTTGTAAACAGATAGGGGGCGCGCGCGAGGCGCACCGCCGCCCTATCTGTCCCGCCGATCACCACCACGGATGTCAGTCGCCGGGTCACAGCCGGTCCTTAGCGGCTGTTTCCCGGCGATCAGCGGTAAACAGTGACAGAGAGACAACTGCAGTAGCTGTGCTGTCTGTCACTTCCTTGTCAGCTCGAGGACGAGCTGATCGAGACAGAAGAGTTTCTCTTTCTCGATCAGCCTTGTCCCGCCTAGTACACTTCTGACCCTGCCCCCCCGCCCCCTATAAAACACTCCCCTCACTCCTATATAACCCTTCCCTGCAAAATAAAGTTAACCCCTTCCTCCCCAGTGCCATTAGTACAGTGTCAGTGGTTTTCTTTTTGTATGATCACTGTATTAGTGTTTTTGGGGATGTCAGTACCCCCCAATGTCAGAATGTCCGCCTTCCCGCCATAAGTCGCTGGTCGCTGCCATAAGTCCCTGAATGCCATAATTCGTGATCGCCGCCATTATACAGTATAAAAAAAAAACTCTAAAAATCCCAGTATCTTTCCCGCCATTTGTAAACGCTATAACTTCAAGTAAACCAATTAATTTACACGTATTGTTTTTTTTTTTTTAGCAAAGACATGTCGCAGAATGCATGCCCTCCCCAGAAACAGGAATTTTGGCAGAAATTTTATGACTGAATTTGATTTTTGCATTTTTTTTTACTGGACATGTTTTTTATAGCAAAAAGTCCAAAATATTGTTTTTCTTCCTCAAAATTGTCAGCCTTTTTTGGTATAGCGCAAAAAATAAAAACCTGCACAGGCGATCAAATACCACCAAAAGAAAGCTCAATTTGTGGGGAAAAAAGGATGTAAATTTCATTTATGTCGTATTGCATGATCCTGTGCGCAATTGTCCACTTAAACTAGCGCAGCGCTGTATAGCAGAAAAATGGTGTAAATTGCAGTATCTATACATCAAGATTGTAGACGCTATAACTTCCACACAAAGCAATCAATATACACTTATTGGGATTTTTTTTACCAAAAACATGGAGCAGAATACGGGGTTTTTTGGCCTAAATTTATAACCAACTTTGAGTTTACTATATATTTTTTATAGCTGAAAGTAAAAAATATTGTTTTTCTTCAATTTTTTGGCCTTTTTTTGTTTATATAGCGTGAAAAATAAAAAGCGCACAGATGACCAAATGCCACCGAAAGAAAGCTTTATTTTTGTGAAAAAAAGGACGTAAATTTTGTTTGACTGCAGCATTGCATGACCGCGCTTTATCAGTTGAATTAGTGCAGCGCGAGTAGCAAAAAGAGGCGTGGTTTTAAGGGGGGTAAATCCTCTGGAGCTTAAAGTGGTTAACATACTCCTGACCACTGCATGCTTTACCCTGGGCCATATATCAATATATTTCTGACCACTGCACTCTGCACACTGAGCTGCATATGATAAGCTCCTGCCCATTGCATTTGGTAACCAGGCTTTATATGACCACTGCACTCTGTACCTCAGGCTTTATCTTGAATTGTTCCTGTTGACTGCACATTGTGCACAGAGCTGTATACAGTATTATATACTTCTGACCACTGAACCACTCTGTTTGCCAGGCTGTATATAACATGCTCCTTATCACTGCACTCTTTACACTGGGCTGTATATAATATATGGGGAAAGGAAATGCCATTCCAAATAAATGGGTATCCGCATTTAAATAAAATGTGTCCTGAGGCCTTCGGTGTGCTGGAAGCCATTGCCTTGTCCTTGGTCTTTGTGCGGTCTTGGGTTAGGAATGTTGTGACACCATTTTACAGAGGGGGACTGAGATGCTCTGCAGTCTGCCTGGAGATGCCAACTTTTCCAGAGAACTGCCAAGTATGGACTATCACCTTGTGGAGGTAAGCCTGTGCAGCCACCTAGGACTGGTGTAAACAGTAGCCTGTCCTGAAATATGGTACCCGGGCAAGGTGGGGCGTCCTACGGTAGTGAAGGGTCGGTGTTTTCCATAGCAATCGGGACCGATCCTGTGTTATGGAAACCCTCAGCCTAGCCATATGGTATGAGAGAGAGAGGAATTAACTGAGCGCACGCATGAGATATATGTAGGTGCTCAGGGGGACCCCATTCTGTCAATGGGAGTGAGGTGGCAGAGGTACACTAGATGGGTGGAGGGGCATAGGCTCACCGGAGTCTCTCCTAAATGCAACAGTCAAGGTGTGTAGTGACCAGGGGCGGACTGACCATTTGGAAACTCGGGCGCTGCCCGAGGGCCCGGGTCAGTAGGGGGCCCCATGGGATGCCCCTGGTACCTTTTTCATAGGCTTTTTTGAGTTTGGGCAAGGACACAGGGGCCCCATGATCCCCTATTGCCCAGGGGCCCCATGAGTTGTCAGTCCGCCCCTGGGACTTAACACAGACATTCACTGCATACAGTGCATGGCTCATGGCTAAGTAGGGGCACCACCTTAAGGTTGATTTCACCCAAATGGGACCTCCACCTCATCCCGGGGCATTGATCAACATATGCATGGGAAAGGTACGCATGACTCCACCCACACTGCCTGGCATAGTCCACAGAACCTCAGTAGGATTGGTATATGGCTCAGTTAACAGCATGTAGCCAGCCATATCCTCTCCCCTCTCTACAATATCTTATCATGATTGAGTCTTATTGTACATTATTATGCCTTCCTTCATGACAGCCACTATGTTGTGGGTACCCCTAAGCTACATGCTTTTTTTCTTCCACACTTTGCGCTCAGTCAGTGAACAGTCCGCTGGCTTGGTTTTGTTATTTTAGAGGAAATAACTTGGATAGGGTAATAGGGATTATGGGATGCTCAGTTTGGCTTGATGATCAATGAAGAGGCAGCACAGTGGCTAAATAGTTAGCACTTCCGCCTGGCAGTTTGGGTCGTTGGTTCGAATCCCAGCCACGGCACCTCCTGCCTGGAGTTTGCATGTTCTCCCTGTGCCTGCGTGGGTTTCCTCTGGGTATTCCAGTTTCCTCCCACACTCCAAAGACATGCTGGTAGGTGAATTGGCTCCTCTCTAAATTGTCGCTAGAATGTGTATGTATGAATGTAAGTTAGGGACCTTAGATTACACACCCCTTGAGGGTTAGGGACTGATGTGAATGTATAATATATATGTAAAGCGCTGCGTAAATTGACAGCGCTATGTAAGTACCTGAAATAAATAAGAAGAAGAAGAAGAGGGGACAACTTCCTTTCTATGTACAGGAACGGATTCTGGACTGTTATTTTTCCTTAATAGCCATCAAGCTTTATGGATCAGTAGCAACAGCCCTTTACGGGTGAGCAACTCACAGCCCATCAAAAATTAGCCTTCTTGTAACTACATGTAGAGGTGCCTCCTCCCAGCTTCAAGGTTTGCAGACACTACCAGCCGTCCTGGCTGCTTGGAAGATCTCCCAGGACAAGGATAAAGGATTGAGCCCAGTGCTGTCCTTTGAAAGCTTGCTATATGTGAATCCCAGGGAGGGCTGATGTACTCACTGTGTCCTCTTTGCTCCCAATGCTCCTAGGTCTCGATCCCCATTCATGCTACACTGCTGAATGTATCCTCCTGAGCCCATTCCCATCAAGACCTAGGAGACCCCCCCTGGCACTCACAGTCTGCTCAGCACTCCATCTTCCACCTAACACCTCTGTTTGCCTGACTCTCCTATATTTATGGGTCGGTCCACCACTCTACCAGGGTCTGCAAACCTAGGATTGGCCAGACTCCCATAAACATGAAGATTAGGTCTGCATCCCTTCCTGTCTATTGATTTCTGGAAGGTTCTATAGTCCTCCAGGGTCAAGAGGAGGCACGAGAGACACATATTTATGGTTGGTCCACCACTCTACCAAGGCCTCCAAACCTGGGATTGGCCGGTCTCCAATAAACATGCAGATTAGGTCTCTACCCCTTCTTGCCTACTGACTTCTGGAAGGTTCTATAGTCCTCCCGGGTCAAGAGAAGGCAATAGAGACACATATTTATGGGTTGGTCCACCAATCTACCAGGGCCTTCAAACCTGGGATTGGCCAGACTCCAATAAGCATGCAGATTAGGTCTCTACCCCTTCCTGCCTACTTACTTCTGGAAGGTTCTATAGTCCTCCAGGGTCAAGAAGAGGCAATAGAGACACATATTTATGGGTTTGTCCACCACTCTACCAGGGCCTCCAAACCTGGGATTGGTCAGACTCCCATAACACATGCAGATTAGGTCTCCACCCCTTTCTGCTTACTGATTTCTGGAAGGTTCTATAGTCCTCCAGGGTCAAGAGGAGGCAATAGAGACACATATTTATGGGTTGATCCACCACTCTACCAGGGCCTCCAAACCTGGGATTGGTCAGACTCCCATAAACATGCAGATTAGGTCTCCACCCCTTCCTGCCTACTGGAAGGTTCTATAGTCCTCCAGGGTCAAGAGGAGGCAATAGAGACACATATTTATGGGTCGGTCCACCACTCTACCAGGGCCTCCAAACCTGGGATTGGCCGGTCTCCAATAAACATGCAGATTAGGTCTCCACCCCTTCCTGCCTACTGACTTCTGGAAGGTTCTATAGTCCTCCAGGGTCAAGAGGAGGCAATAGCCACAACCTGTTAAGTCATCCAGCTGACCTGCACTGACCTGACCTCAATCACAGACTCACACAGTTACCACGAGTCCTACACAAGGATTTTACCTGCAATACACTACATTATTCTAGTAGCAGACTGGAGGGTGCTACATATATATATTGAAACCGGGTCATATTATCTTGATCTTATGACTGACAAAGTCTATGAGATTGAATTATTATGTATTAATAATATTGAAATATAGAACAGTTCCATTCTCATCGGTAGAGATATTTCAGACATTTAATTTTGTTAGTTGTCTCTTGTGTATCTTCTCGGCTTGGTAATAGTTGTGTCCACAAGTAACACAATGCATAGAATTTTCACAATACAAGAAGTCCTGTTTCATTCAGCCAGTCAAATGACACTTGTTGGTTTCTCACTGCCAGAATAATACAAGGCCAGCCGTACTACAGCATTTGTGTACGACCCACCCGTAATAAACTAGTGGATTACCAACTGGTGGGTTCTATGAATGACAATCAACTCCATTGTTAATAGATGGAAGGTGACCTTGCTTACAATTTGCTCCGTATGCAAACTTGTTTGGCCTACAGACTATTCCCAGTTCCTGTCCCTTTGGGATAGTTGAACGTTAATGTACTGTGTTAAGAACTACATGAAATCTTTGTATGTCCAAATAAAATGGTGCAGCGCTAAGTGATGATACACGTTAATACACACAATAATATGCTATTTCAAACTTATGCGAATACGTGATATCACTCTGAAGATGATCCTTAAATATTTAAATTAGTTCAATGTGATTATGTGGATCATATAGAGATCACAATTCCAGGTGAGTGGACGTCCTGATCCGGGAGTGACAATTGGTGCAAACCACACAAGTGGGTGAAAAACGCACTCACCAGATGTGCGTTTAAGATACGCAATAAATAATCCTGCGTCACCAGGCCATAGATAGGTCGTCAGATCTCGGGTCGGGTTACCCCACGGATCACCATCCAAGTCCCACAGAAAAAAGGTCACCAGGATCCGCTACCAGGTATCACCACCAGGGTCATATTTTCCTCCAAAAGGTACCTTAAGCAGTATCACGCTATGTGGTCTCTTATTGGGCACTCTGTGTGAGTGCTATCATTAGCAGTGCCTTTTTGGAGGAAAATATGACCCTGGTGGTGATACCTGGTAGCGGATCCTGGTGACCTTTTTTCTGTGGAACTTGGATGGTGATCTGTGGGGTAACCCAACCCGAGATCTGACGACCTATCTATGGCCTGGTGACGCAGGATTATTTATTGCGCATCTTAAACGCACATCTGGTGAGTGCGTTTTTCACCCACTTGTGTGGTTTGCACCAATTGTCACTCCCGGATCAGGACGTCCACTCACCTGGAATTGTGATCTCTATATGATCCACATAATCACATTGAACTAATTTAAATATTTAAGGATCATCTTCAGAGTGATATCACGTATAAGTTTGAAATAGCATATTATTGTGTGTATTAACGTGTATCATCACTTAGCGCTGCACCATTTTATTTGGACATACATGTATTATTGGAGGTTTTTCTTAGTTACCTTTTTCGGTGTATCAGCAGCTTAATAACATTGTTGTGTGTGTATATATATATATATATATATATATATACTTCCATTTTTGTTTTAAGGTAGCGCTCACTAAATAACCTTTACTACATGAAATCTTTCATCTTCTCAGAAACCTTGTTTCAGAGTTCGAATGCAGATTCACCGTAAAATCTAAATTTTATTTCACAGTGGCTCTGACAATATGAACATGTTACAGGCGCCTACATATGAAAACGTTGACTGTGCTACACAGGCTACATATCATTGTGCACACCCATGTGAGAGCAATATTAATTCTAGGCCCAGTGTTCCTGGTTAATGCAAAACAGAGGACCTGTGAAGGCTTTTAAAGCGCCACCTGTGGGAAAATTTTGGGTAACAAAGTTGAAGTCAGTTTTAAGGCTGAACATGTTTGGTATCATTACCCGTGACGAAACTTGGCTGTACGGGTTTCACACAGAAATTCATGTTTGTTCTTTGTTCTAACTTGCTTCCATGATGAAAAAGCAGACGTGGTCAAAAAAGCACCAGTTGCACAGCTCGCGATGTACACAGGGCAATGTCTTTTGGCACACTGACTTATGAAAGTTGGTGCTCCCTGTGACTGTGCCTTATGCTACCACCTGTTGGCATGTTACACAACTAGTCTCAAAACTTTTTGACACTGCCTGACAAAAAAACTATTTTAATTTCCAGCGCGTCTGCTTTTAGAAAATATCAGTTTGGGGGCTTAAACTATTCTTTGCAAAACAATGAAAAAATAGCTCTGACAGCAAAAGGGATAAATGTGAGCTAGATGGGATCGCTCTCCTGTAATCACACTCTACACATTAGAGCTCCCCCTAGCTGCAACCTGATAATAACATTGTTAGGAGGTCTATGTAACTACATACGTCTCATCATTAACCCCTTGCCCTCCGGAGAATTTCCCTCCCCCCTTCCTGACCAGGCCATTTTTTGCGATAAAGCGTTGCAATACTTTAACTGACAATTGCACGGTCATGCAACGCTGCACCCAAATGATATTTATGTCCTTTTTTCCCACTAATTGAGCTTTCTTTCGGTGGTAATTGATCACCTGTGTGGTTTTTATTTCTGTGCTATAAGCAAAAAAAGACTGACAATTTTGAGAAAAAAAACCCTATATTTTGGACATTTTGCCACTAAACATGTCCAGTAAAAAAAAATTTTAAAAATCAAATTTCATCGCCAAAAATGTATTCTGCTCCGGGTCTTTGCTAAATAAAAATCCTAATACGTGTAAATGAAGTGGTTTACGTGAAAGTTATAGCATCTACAAATGGCGGTATAGATACTGGGATTTTTTTTTATTATTAC